GATAACCAAGCAGCTCGTGAATTAGTTTTGTTCGTGGGGCGGTGGGAGGCTGGGAGGGTCCAAGAGGTGCGGGAAGGGAAACTGAGCGCCGCGGCTGGCTGCGGGCTCGCAGGTGGAGGGAGCAGAGCCCGGCGCACTGGAGCGGCGTGCTGGCCGGCCAGGTGTGGACGCTGACCCAGACCGACGAGCGGCTGCACTGCACGGTGTACCGAGGGCAGCAGGCCCCGGGCGGCGCGCCCACGCCCGAAGAGCTGGACGCCGTGCGCCGCTACTTCCAGCTGGATGTCAGCCTGGCCCAGCTGTATCGCCACTGGGGTTCCGTGGACCCCCACTTTCAAGAGGTGGCTGAGAAATTTCCAGGTGAGTAGAGGCTGGGGTCCTTGGCACTTGGATGGTTGCCAGTTTTGCCATCTGTGACGTGCGGGTACCGGTGGGATTTTGTGAGGAGTAAAGATCTCACGCAGGTGAAGCGCTTGGGCTGGAGCCTGGCGGGAGCTGTGTTGTCTGCCCATCCAGCGGTGGGCTAGCAAGGGCGCTCCCTGCAGAGCCAGGCCCTGCTGTGAGCCTCGGCCGAGACGCCCAGGTTCTGTACGTGTTGGCAGACATCTGCCCTGTGACCGCACAGCGGGGAACAGAAACGGGCCCCACCCTCAGAGCGCTTGCAGTGGGCTCCCTATGTGACCCCCCAGGCCTCGCGCGGCATCACCAGGCGCCAGTTGCAGGCAGGCTCTTACTGGCTTCCTTCCTTTTTTTTTTTTTTTTGCATTTTTACTCAAGTGGATAAAAAATAGTATTTCAAATGTACCAGCGCCAGAAGTACACGTACCAAAAATGCACACACGGGCCTCCCAGGCGGCACAGCGGGGTGAAGCGGGGCACTAGGAAGCTGCCATAGCGGCTTGGGCAGGAGCTCCATCCCCAGCCAGGGAGCGACCTGCACACCGCAGGCCTCTCCTGACCCTCCGCTCCCCTCAGCAGTGGACTTCTCACTCTCCCTGTCCTGCTCCCCGCCTGCCTCTGGTGAAGCCTCCCACCCCCGCCACTCTGGCTGCGCCCAGCGCTGTGCATAAATTAAAAGCAAAGAACGCCACACTGCCCTGGTGTCTGCCCTGGTGTCGGCAGCGCCGCAGCCTTTGGGCCTGGCCCGGTCAGCCTCCCCGTTTCCTGCAGGCCTGTCCCCGTCAGCATCAGCTTTATCCTTTTCCCTTCGGGGCTGCCTCTCCCTGCTTGGCAGCGGCTGCTTTAGGCTCGGGCTCTGGCCCTGCAGCAGCAGGCTAGCAGCTGACCTTGCAGATCTGCCCTGAGGTCCGACCTTCACTTTGGCTTGTCCTCACGTAACCTGCCCTTCCGCCTTTATCTTGGCGCGGCAGTGACCGCGGAGGACGCAGGCCCTGGACACGGCGATGCATCGGCGAGTGGGTCTTGGTCAGTGCTCTTCTTCTTCACACTGCTCCTGTGTTATTTTTTCTGACACCCCTGCGCTTCGGTGCCCTGGCCCCCCGGGATCTGTGGCTGCTGGCCTGCCACGCCAGGTGTGCGCCTCCTGCGGCTGGACCCCCTCGAGTGCCTTTTCTCCTTCATCTGCTCCTCCAACAACAACATTGCCCGCATCACTGGCATGGTTGAGCGGCTCTGCCAGGCTTTCGGACCTCGGCTCCTCCAGCTCGATGGTGTCGCCTACCACGCCTTCCCCAGCCTGCAGGCCCTGGCGGGTGAGTCCTAACTCAGGGCCTCCCCTGAAACCACCCTTCCTGGCGTGGCCCACCCGGACGACCCTCCCTGCCCATTCATATGACGTAGGCATTTCACCAGGCTGTGGGCTTTGCCCTGTGGGTTCAGTGCCTTCCCGGAAAACCTCGGCATACAGTGTAGGGGGTTGAGGGCGCGCCTTCTGGAGAGGGCCTTGCCTGACCGCCGACTCTGCGCCTTGCAGCTGTAAGACCTTGAGCACATTACTTGGCCCCTCGGCCTCAGTTGACTCATCTGTAGAATGGCACAATAATGGCATCTAACTGTTGGAGTTCCGGCGGGCTGGTAAAGGTATGCATGTGTGGCACCCGCACAGGGTTTTTCTGAGGGGCTTATGTAGAAAGTTCCGTGGCGGTCCAGACAGGGCCCTCCCGCCAGAGACCCCCAACAGGGTTGCATTCAGGAACACGCACATTCTTCACGGCAGCACTGAGGCAGGCTTATCCGCTGGCAAGCGTGAGAACCAAGTCTGCAGAAGTGCTCAGACGGCCCTCTCGGAGAAAAGAGAAGGCCTTGGGGGTGTAGGAATGAGTCTTAGGTCTTAACTCCTAGCTTAGCGGCCAGAAGACCTTAAAAAGCCCATTCCCCTCCCCAGGCATCTCCTAGCTTGCAGAGTGCAGTGGCGCTTCCCACGTGGGAGGGTGGCGAGGTGAGCAGCAGTTGCGAGGCAGCGTCATGTGGGTGAAGGGCTGGAGCGCTGCGTCCTGGACCTGGGTGCCGGTCCCAGCACCCCGTGTCCCTTCCCGAGCCAGTGAGCTTCTTAGCCCTCGTGTTCCCACCTCTGAAGGGGGAGACAGCAGCGCTGGAGCCAGGGTCCTTGACAGCAGGTGGTAATGGCCTACAGCCCTTTGCCAGCGAGTGATGCCCGGCACTGGGTAGTCAGAGTCGTTGCTTTTTTTATTCATTTTCAAAAAGATTTATTTGTGCACACAGAACAGGGGTCCAGGCCAGAGGTGCAGGGGCAGTGAGGGGACTCTCCAGAGACGAGTAGGGAGCAGAACAGGCAGGTCGATGAAGTCCACTGCTGAGGGGAGCAGCGGGCGGGTCAGGAGAGGGCTGCCGCGCCCTGGGGTTGCCGCCTGGCCTGGGGTCGAGCCTGAGCCGCAGTGGCTGCAGCCTCATAGTGCTGCCCTGGAACCCCTGGCGCCACCAGGGAGGGCCGGAGTCCTTGCCTTTACTGTGATGAGTATTTTAGATCACGGTGTGAGTTACCCTTGGAAAGATTAAGGCACTCGACTGGGTGCCTCCAGGGGAGCACGTCCCTCAGAACCTGCCCCAGGACGCTGCCTTTCTTCGCACACAAGTGCTTGGGGCGGCAGGGGGCCCTGAGGGACCGCACACGTGTGGGGCAGAGAGCCCGCACATTGGCCTGCGGACAGGAGCTGAGGGATTGGGGCCGCCGCCCCCCGCCCAACCCCCACAGGGCCAGAGGCAGAGGCTCAGCTCAGGAAGATGGGCCTGGGCTACCGTGCCCGCTACGTGAGTGCCAGCGCCCGGACCATCCTGGAAGAACGGGGCGGGCTGGCCTGGCTGCAGCGGCTGAGCCAGGCTCCCTACGAGGAGGCCCACCGAGCCCTCTGCACCCTGCCCGGGGTGGGCGCCAAGGTGAGACCCCAGGCAGGTGGAAGCACCCATTTTGTGGTCTCAGTGGGCCTGAGAGCTGGGTGCAGGTTTGTCCTCAGGCAGAGCAGCAAGGAGCCGGAAGCAAGCGATGCTTCGTTGAAGTGCACAGCCCAGAGCGGTGCCAAGGCCACGTGGCCGGGCACCTGTACGCTCGGCACACGCAGGGCTGCAGGTGTGCAGAGGTTTCCGGGAGGGGTCTCAGGACGCCACAGCAGATAAACTGGGGCGACACACGGGCAGATGTGGGTGCCCTTGGCCTGCCTGACTCCCTCGCCCTCGCCCAGTGTTTCATGTAACATCCGCAGGGAGCGCTGACATCACAGTGACTGGGAACTTGGCGTCCGTCTGCGCCTCTGTAGCATCTCAAAGGGAGGTTTTGTTTCGCCCTGACGCCAGTCTGATGTTAGCTCCTGGTCGTCCTCCCTACCTGGCCCCTTGGCCAAGGTACCTGGCCTTCCACGGCCTAACTGCCCATCTGCAGAACAGGCCTGGTGACGGCTTCTTCCCGGGTCCTGATGAGCAGCTGCCGCGTCCACGCTCCCTCAGGGCACTCTGTCCCCGGCTTTTTGTGCTCGACTGACAGACGTGTGTTGCGGAGAGGCGGCAGAGGCGGCATGGCCGGGCCTCTAGGGGAGGGAGGCTGGCGCTGGGGCTCGAGGCGGGATGCCAGCTGGGTCCTGCCGTCGCCCCCAGCCGGCGCATTCTCTGTCAAAGGTGGCCGACTGCATCTGCCTGCTGGCCCTAGACAAGCCTGAGGCCGTGCCCGTGGATGTCCACGTGTGGCAGATCGCCCAGCGCGACTACAGCTGGCACCCCAGCGCCAGCCAGGCCAAGGGCCCGAGCCCCCCGGCCAACAAGGAGCTAGGTATGGGGACAGGATGCACGGGCTGGCGGGGCGAGGCGGGCGACGCTCGGCCTCCGCATCCCCCAGGGGGACTTTGCCCCCTTGGAAGGGGAGCAGCGGGCTAATCAGATTCACCTCGTCATCTTGGTTTAGGAAACTTTTTCCGGAGCCTGTGGGGCCCTTACGCTGGCTGGGCCCAAGCGGTGAGTGTCCCAGGTCCCCCTCCAGCCCTGCCTGACGAGGGCCTCCCCAGGCCTGAGCGGCTCTTCGCGCGGTGCGCCCACCCCAGCGCGGGCCACAGCCCAGACCCCTGCGTCCCCCTCTGACGGCCCCCACCCCGCTGCCAGGTGCTGTTCAGTGCGGACCTGCGCCAGCCCCGCCGGGCCGAGGAGCCGCCGGCCAAGCGCAGGAGGCGAGCCCAAGGGCCGGAGGGCTAGGGCGGGCCCTGGCAAGGCCTTCCTCAGAGCCGTGCCCCCACGGTGGGGGGCCTCCCGCGCTGCCTCGGGCGGGCTCGAAGTCTGGGGCGGGCTTATCCCAGAGACAGCTGCTTGTGGGTTTATCCTCTTCCCTTTATTACAAGAAGGAACAATAAAATAGAAACATTTGTATGGAAAATGCATGGAGTGGTCGGGAAAGGGTGGGGTCGGGGTGGGCAGGGGAACCCCCCAGCTCAAGAAGAGAAGGGCAACAGGCAGCCCCCAACTCTCCCGACGCGAGGGGCCTGGGCCCTGACTCAGGGCCCTAGTGCTGGGGGGGCGGGGCGGGGGGCAGCTCCGGTCCCGGCTCCACACAGCAGTCTCGGCAGCAGCAGCCGGCCCCTGGCCCTGGCGGGAGGACAGCCGAGTCAGCACAGGGGCCGGCCTGCGCCCCGCCTGGGCGCCCCCGGCCCCCGCCGCCCTCCGGAGCGCTGGTCCTCACCCCCGGCGGCCGGTGCCAGCAGCTCCCCGTGGCTGGCCGTCTGCCCCTGCCCCTCCTGGCTGGTGCCCAGCTGCAGCCTCCTCATGTGCCGCACCACCGCCGTGGCATTGAAGGCTTGCTGCGGGGAGAGCGGGCCGCGGGGGGGTTGGCAGTGGTTCTCTTGTGTTCACTAAGCTGCTTCTGAGTAGCCCTGAACGCCCAGACCTCGAGGCTCGGTGGCACACGCACGGAGCTGGCCGCCACGCGTCGGCTCTGTCCCAAGCCCTTTCTGTAGGAACTCGCTGACGTTCTAAATGTCTTGACTTCGGTTCATGAATTCGAAAAGAATTTGTTCCCCTGTGTTTTCATCGTTTCCCCAAACGCTCTGATGTGGATGCCGTGAGGGTCCTCCTTGCCGGAGGAGGAAACTCGGGCACAGAAGTGAGAAGCGGCCAGCGTGTGGTCGGCAACACCTGCACCCTCCGGCTGCCCATGTCCCTCGCGAACCACCCCCCAAGGCCAGTTTCCACCTGGGAGCTCCCTTCCAGGGAGACACTGCTCCCTGGGCCCGGCCCAGGCCCTGGCCGGCCCTGGCGGCTCGGCCCGCGCCCTCTGCGCCCGCGTCCTGCAGGGCCGCCGCTCTGCCGCGGCTGCTCTGTCCAGGGCCTCTGTCGCCGTCTCCTCTGCCTCGCTCTGTCCTGCGGCCTGCTAATCCCTACTCTGCTGTCCAGTCTGCCTGTGGTCTTCCAGTGCTGGCCTGCCTGGAGGGAGCGGTCAGGAGCCCTATCGGGAGTACAGTGGTCTCTCTGGGGCCTTGGGCAAATGACCAGATGAGGGCCTTTGGCCAGCACCCCCATGCAAACTGTGCTGACTGGGAGCTGTCTGCCATGTAAACTGAGGCCTGGATTTCGGGGGCGGGGGGGTGTCCTGGGAGTCTGGGAGCCGGGACTGGGGACAAGGGCTCACCTTCCACTTGCTCTTGGCAAAGTTCTTCTTGATCTGCTCGCTCACCGACTGGTGGATATTCTTGTCCAGGGCAGTGTCCCCTGCGATCCTGGGGTGAGGGTGTGCAGAGGGCTGTGAAGGCAGAGGTGGGTCGGAGGACCCCAGACCCCCCCCCAGCCTGCAGCTCGCGGGGCTCTCACCATGGGTGCTGCAGGGCCTGCTCACAGGTGAACCTCTTCTCCGGGTCCTTCTCCATTAAGTGCCGGATGAAGTCTTTGGCTTAACAAGACAGGAGCGAGGTCAGAAACAGCATGGCCGTCCTGGGGACCCCCCAAGATGGAACCCACCCCTGCAGGTCTGGCCTGCCCACCCTTGCTGTCTCAGCCCCCATCACCCCAGCCTACAGCTGTCTCCGCTCTCCCTCGAGAACTTGCTCGTGGGGAAGATTCTGCTCTGGCCTGTAACTGACTGGTCGTGGCACCACTGGTTTGCCCCCAGTCGGCACAGAAAGAGGCATGAAACGTGGTTTAGGCTCCAGGAAGTCAGCAAGGAGGAGGCATGTTCACATGGGACACTGGGTGGGTGAATGCCGCCAGACTGCTTGCGGCGCCCCTGGGGGGCGGTGGCTGGGCTCCCTCGTCTGTGGCACCGCGAGGCAGGGAGACGCCACAGCAGCTGCTGCGGCCCGGAGAGGAGGTAGAGCCCAGTACCGGAGTCGGAGATGTCGTCCCAGTAGGGAGAGTCAAACTCGTACTCGGCCTTCAGGATCTGCTCAAACAGCCTGGCGTCATTCTCGTCATAGAAGGGGGGGTAACCGCAGAGCCTGCAGGGGAGACACCCTCAGGCCGCTGTCTGCACACCCGCCGCTCATGCCAGTCAGGACCACGGCAAGGAGCCCCCTTGCGAGGGGCTGCCCGCCCGCCCTGCCCAGCTCGCGGGCGCCGGTCCTCTCCCCGTGCCTCCTCCCGCTCGGGGCCTGTGCGGTCCACTCCCTCTGCTGACCACGGCCCCCCCCACCCAAGCGCCCGGCTTCCTCGCCTTACTCAGGATGCCACTACGTGTGCCCTCAGCGAGGTGAGCACGCCTCAAATGGCAGCGTCCCGACCTCCCGGCAGCCTGGCTTTTCTCTGGCACCTCTGTGCCACCTGACATTGCTCTGCGGGTGCGCTTCCCCGTGCCCTGCCCCGTCGCCTCCCCGAGGGCAGGCCCCGCCTGGTTCTCTGTGCAACCCCGTGCTGGGCACAGTGCCAGAAACACAGTCTGCTGAAGGCAGTAGTATTGCACGGGAGCTACAAGGAGCTGCAAGCGTGGGAAGGAAGCAGAGGGGAGGCGGGAGGGAGAGGAGGCTCGAGGGGGGGTTAGGGCGGCAGGGAGCAGAGCCAGGGCTGCACTCACAGGATGTAGGCGATGACCCCGATGGACCAGCAGTCCACGGCCTTGCTGTAGGGCTTCTGTGCCAGGACCTCGGGGGCTACGGAGGAGAAGGGACGTGATGGTGACACACTCGGCAGCCCCTGGCCGCCCCCGCCCAGGCCCTCCGCACCCACGTATCCCGGGGTCCCCCGCCCGCCTGCTGGCCGCCCCCGCCCAGCTGGGCCTCGCTGCTCGGGCGGGGCCGGGGCCGGGGCGAGGACGGCGTTGCTGAGTCCACTTGGCTCTGAGCTCAGGGCTCCTGGGAGTTGCCCTGTGGTTACTCCAGGCTCTCATTCATGCGCCAGAGGTC